GAGCCCCTCCAGCGCCTCCCAGTCCACCACCATGCCATGCTTGATGGGGTGCGCCCGCTCCACGCCACCCACCAGCTCACAGCCCAGCGCCCCGGGCAGCACGGGCCGGTTCCAGCTGGTCACTAGGCTGGAGCTCTTCAACACCAGACGTGGCTGGTTCTCGCCCGCGAAGCCCGCCTTGGTGAAGCCCGATCCCTGGTCCACCACCACTGCGATGCGGCCCAGTGAGGGCGGCCGGACCCGGCGCCTCCCCGACACCGACGCCACCTTCTGGGCTCAGCTGCGCTCCCAGAGGCGGTTCTGTCCCCACCGGCCTAGATGAAGGCCCGCCTTTCAGCTCTTGACTCTGTCCCCTGGGACTAAATCCCTACCTTAACGGACTAGATAACTACTTTCTCAGTTTCTGGCACTGCTTTTTTCTGCCCAGAGTGGATGTCTCTTTTCAGCTCTTGGCTCCTTGAGAACCCAGGAGTCCAGCCCCAGGCAGTGTCTTGGACCTCTCACCTGTGCTTGACAGCAGTAGTTCCTGGTTGTGGAGATGGGAGGGGTCATCAGAGAAGGAAAAGAACTTGGATCCGACTAATTGTGACCTCAGTCCTCAGCCCCTGCTGTGCTTCTGCAGCCCCCTCCCCCCAGTGAAAACACCCTGGACCCATCCTTTCTCCTGGGACAGGGTCAAGGGCAGTGAATTGGGCATCTAGGGGTCTGGCTGCAACTGCCCAGCACAACCAATGATTCTTTCCCCAAACCACTTCAGATGATCAGATCTACTCTGGCCAAATGCAGGGCTCCTCCCCTTCCAGTGCTGAAGAGAAAGCTCTTAATCACACATCTACAGCCACTCTGGAGTATCTGTGTGCTCGTCCTTGGGCCCAGGCAGCCCACAGAGGGACTAATTCAGGGGCTTCCACCTATGGACTCAGGTGGCCTGAGTTTGTGACTCAGTTCTGAAGCTGACTCACTGTGTAGGCAAGTCCTAATCTTTCTGAGCTCAGTTTCTTCCTCCAAAAGGTAAAAATCTTCATACACAGGCAAGAGGCCACTTCTGGTTTCTGCAGAGTCTCATTCTCTTTAGGACCATTTTGGTTGCAAGTTGAAGACCCACTCACGAGAGTGTAAGCTAAAATAAGGATTTTACTTCAAGGATCTTGTATGTATTATGGATACCAAAGGCAAGGGTGAAATCAGGTTTCAGGGGCAGACTGGGAGCAGGGCCTGACTGCAGGGAACACAGGATGTGCACTGTCTGTGTTTTTATTCTTCTGAAGATTGGCTTCAGCCCGTGCATGTTCATGTAGAAAAAGTCTCTTATAGCCCCTGAGTTCCTGTCCCAGGGAAGGGGCTGATAGGACCATGGCTGTGGCCAGGAGGTGTAGTCACACTGAGGAACTTGGTTACTCTGGTTGTAATTATGTGAATGGTAGGGAAGGGCCAGTTCTTAGCAGCCCAGGAGATGCTATGGGTCATGAAACCTCCAGCATGATGCAGGCAACGGGAGGAGACGCTGACAGTAACAAAAGCACATCTTCAGCAGAAGCTGGACCTGTGGCTTTTGTGAGCTGGGACCTTCACCTGCTGCATCTGCCCCAAAAGCCATTCTGAGGTTAGTTGCCAGTGGAAAGCAGGCTGCAGATTCGAAGGGCCGGGGAGGCTCTAGGTTCTGGAGCTGGGTTTGGGACCAGGACAGTGAAGAGAAGCAGCTGCACACAGCAAATGTGCTGGGCCTCTTGTGGGTGAATTAGGGGGGTGAGCCTCAAATTGGAGCCCACAAGTGGCAATATAGCCAGAGCGGGGGTGAGGGTAGAAGTCACCGAGAAGCCGGAGAGAGGAAGATGGGTTGGGGGTTGGGCTTGGGAATCCCAGGAATAGGTTTGGGTGTTTCCCTGTGGGCAATGGGAGAACCAGTGCGAGCTTATGAGCAAAGTGAACTGCCCTACAGGTAGTTAAGTGATTTTGAAGAAGCCGTTGGCTGCAATGTGGAGAGAGGATGGAACAGGGTAGGTGGGGAGACTAAGTTCCCTTGTGGGTTACCAAGCAGGGATGGCAGTGAAGGGTCCAGCGCCTCTCCTGGGTCCTCGCAGGCAGAATGTGCCTCAGGCCCCACCTCTGCTCACAGTAGGACCCTCACAGTTCTCCCCGGTGGTGGCTGTTTGCCTGGGACCGTGGCTCTGCCTAAGGAGGACTTGTGAATGCTGGGCTCTTGGCGATGCCATGCTCAGCTGAAGCAAGCCCCTCCTAGTGTGGCCAGCCGTGGGCTTGCTGGAGCTCACCTCTCTTGGGTCTGCAGACCGGGCAAGGTCTGACCCAGGCCTGAGTTGTGGGGGAAAGGATCATCCTCCCTTCTCCGCTGCGGTAGGATGTCCCCTCCCCAGGGGCAGGGGCTCTAACTTTTGGGTCACAAGGAAGGAAAAAACAGTTGGCTCCCGCTGTGGCCATTGCGCAAGCTGTTCATCCCTGTCTCGCTCTCGCGCCAGACACCTGACAGAGCTAGCAGGAGCCAGGGTTGCCATGCGCTCTTTATTGGGTCGGGGCCACTTGCACGGATGCTCCTGGGTAGGGTCCAAAACGCTGTGGATCCCCAGGCGTGCGCAGGGCCCGGGCCGGCCC